CCCCCCCCCCCCCAAAGAATGCAAGGCAAAGCGCCACAGTTCCATTTGTAACCGAGCAACTACAAATGAAAAGTACACGTTTTGTTTCTGTTCGCCGCGTTCGTCTGGCTTTTCAGGGGCGGGCGCTACCGGGTGTATTAACTGCACCGAGGGCTACTTCATGGAGGACGGGAGATGCGTGCAGGCCTGTAGCACCAGCTATTACTTGGACCACTCTTCAGAGCACGGATACAAATCCTGCAAGAAGTAAGTGGGCCCGCCCCCTTCAGCCCGAGCCCTCGGTCCCCGGGTCCTTATTTGACCCCCTCCATAAATAATACGAAACAGAATTACTAACCGTGAACGAAGGTTCCAACATCTACCTGTGGACAGTGCCCTGCGGCTTTAACCCAGCTCCCATTTAACATTCTTTGTTTTTCTCGCAGGAGCGCTTAAAACCTTTAAGGTAGTATTTCTGTTCCAAGTACGGGCGTCCTTCCATTTAAAATCACACACCCTAGGGCACCTGGGTGGCTCAGTCAGTAAGCATCTGACTTGGGCTCAGGTCGTGATCTCATGGTTCACGAGTTTGAGCCCCATGTCAGGTGAGCTCGAGCCCCACTTTGGGGGAGCCCCACTTCTCTCCTTGTCTCTCTCTGCCCCTCCTAGGATTCTCTCTCTCCACCTGTCACTCACTTGTGCCTTCTCTCTCTCTCTCTCAAAAATATTTTTAAAAAATTTTTAAACTTCATTGAGAGGTTGATGGCTGACATCTTTTCTTGTACCCAATGTGTGAAAGGACGATGAATCCTACGTTTTCCCCACAGATGTGATGCCAGCTGTCTGACATGCAATGGTCCGGGGTTCAAGAACTGTACGAGCTGCCCCAGTGGGTATCTCTTAGACCTAGGGACGTGTCAGATGGGAGCCATCTGCAAGGACGGTGAGTACAGCCTGCTCATTTTGATCCTCTGAGCAAAGGGTCACCTTTTAATATTGATATCTAATACCTTTCCACTCAAAGAAACTACCAAGCGTGAGTTAGATGAACAGGCCCAATATCTTGTTGGCATTCATCTGTCTTGAACTCACACCTACAGTGGGTTTGGGTTTTGGTTCATTTCTTTCAATTAAAAGAAGAAATGAATCACCTGTATAGTTCTACTGGCCAAGAGGGCACAGTTAGCTCTTTTCAATTAGCAAACTTTGTGGGGTTTTTTTTTTTTTGTTTTTTGTTTTTTTTTACATTTTAGAGTTTTAGGTTCACAGCAAAATTAAGCGGGAAGTACAGAGAGATCCCATACATGCCCTGACTCCCCCACCCGTGACATACACACACACACACACCCTTGCCCACCATTAGCCTTCTCTACCAGAGTGGTAACCTTTGTTATAATCAATGAACCTTCATTCACACACCATTATCACCCAAAGCGATACCCGAAAGATGTACTTTGGGTATCACCCAAAGTCCTTAGTTGACATTAGGGCTCACTCTTGGTGTTGTACATTCTAGGAGTTTGGACAACTGTATAAGGATGTGAATCCACCATTATAGTGGCATACAGGACACTTTCACTGCCCCAAAAATCCACTGGGCTCTGCCTTTCCCTCCCTTCATCCCTCCTCCTTCCCCCCAGAACCTACTAGTTTTTTCTTACTGTCTCCATAGATTTACCTTTTCCAGCATATCATATAGTTGGAATATGCAACCTTTCTCAACTCGTTTTTTCATGTATTTATTTCCCACCTTCCACCGTATGTGCTTTTGATCAGATTTTTTTAATACCATGTATATGAAGATTTATAGCCTGCGTTTGATACTAAGCATTAGACAAGCGTTATCCTTTGTTTTTACAAAGTTCTCTGACACTTCAGTTTTAACGACAGCATAAAATTCTATCACGGGACGATGCCACTTGATTGCCATTCCCTTTATTTGGATCATTTAAAATTTTGATACGTAACAATCAAACGGTATCTGAATACTTCATGAAGCCTGTGGGGTAAGGAATTAATGATAGAGCCAGGTAGAGAACTTAAGACTTGTAAATGTTGGCTCATTTTTCTTCTCTCTGCACACACGCTTCTCAACCAAAATGCTGGGACCGCACACCTTCTCCAAAGAGTCACAGTAAATTGGTTTTGGTTTTGGGGTGCTGTCTAGGCATGGATATTTTTAGAAGCTTCTCAAGTGTTTCTAATGTGCAGCCAGGTTTGGGAACGTTTTGCTGTTCCATTCCCCCTGACAACGTGACAAATGCCAAGCCCTCTCCTATTTCTAGCCTCAGTTTCCCCATTTATAAATGAAGAAATGTAAGTTATTCCAACTTCAGCATTTTGTGAACTTTGACTCCGTATAATTCACATGGAGGGGGCCCTAACATTGGAGCCTGACGCTTTATGCAGACACGCATCTCAATGACATAGAAAGCATTTTGAACCATCGTTATTTTTAAACATCTATAGATTGTTATGAAAATAGAAAAATAAAATTTTAAAGTATGCATTTGGAACAGTCTTCCCGGACAAGAGCACTTCCCTTGGTTTACTATTTGCCTTCCTCTGAATGGACGCTCTTCTAGAAATTTCACAACAGGTACAACAGTGCTCTGGTTGGGAGAATGTGGATTCAGAAATCAGAATACTGTCGTTCATTTCTTGGGCTCCAGATCTTGGGCAGGTGATGAACTTCTCTGGGCCTCACTTCCCTCATCTGTAAACATGAGGAGGCTAATACTATTGACCTTGTCTGGTTATTCTAAAACTTCCCATTAGGAATTTCAAAAAGATGTCAAAAAGAACCAGGCAGCTGATGGCACCTATAGAACATGATTGATGGTCTCATTTCCTCTGAGCATGATAGGTGACTTTGTGTCTTCATAGCTTTTTTCAACGTTTATTTATTTTTGGGACAGAGAGAGACAGAGCATGAACGGGGGAGGGGCAGAGAGAGAGGGAGACACAGAATCGGAAACAGGCTCCAGGCTCTGAGCCATCAGCCCAGAGCCTGACGCGGGGCTCGAACTCACGGACCGCGAGATCGTGACCTGGCTGAAGTCGGACGCTTAACCGACTGCGCCACCCAGGCGCCCCATCTTCATAGCTTTTTGACTATAGGATGGGTCCAGCTGGGACAGACCCAGTCAGGCTCTGTGTTCTCACCACACAACACGGGGACAGAGGGTTGGGGTGAGGGCATCCCAGGGACCATGTAAGTATCACTTTTTGCTTAAAACCATGGTTCCCTTCTAGCTGGATGTGACCGGAATTTTTAAGTTAGTAACAGAAAACAGAGGAAGATCCACAGTCGCTTGAAATTTTCACATGTAGCATTTGGTACCAGGCATGGCCACGTCTGCAATGCTTTTCCTGCCTTCTTTAAACCACGGTAAACGTGGGGATGAGTTCTGCCAACTGGCACTTTGGTAGGAGTGGAGTGTCAGGATCGTGGGCAAGAGTAGAAAATGAAGAACCATGGTTTGCAAGGCGTCCACTTTCAGATCAGCTAAATAATGAGAAATAATGAGATCACTGATGGCTCACTGGGCTTTTCAAATCACATGGCAATTGCATTTAGGGATTCGTGATTTAGTCTCTCTCACCTGTCATATTTCAATGATTCTAAGACACACTTTTTTTTTTTTTTTTTTTTTTTTTTACATTGTAACATCTCTGAAATCAGATGCATCTTATTCTTTATGCCTTTGACTTAGTCACAGTGATGTCTAGCTGACTGAGTCAGGTGCGCGGTTGCTACTTCTTGTGTTGAATTTAATGGGAGTTCAGAAGCGCTTCGAAAAATTAAACGAGTGTTTACTATCAAAGGAAGAGTTTTTGCCATAAGCAGAGAAACACAACAGCATAGTTATATAACAAATATCTAACCTTGAGCTAAAAAATAACACCATAGTTATATAACTAATATTTAACGGACATTTCAAGAAGGACAAAATTAATATTCTAATATTGATGAGAATGTAAGAAAGAAGCATGTTTTTTCTGGGCAGAGCTTAAAATGGTGGTGCATCTTACATCCAGGGTCTTGGATTCAATGAAATATAATATAAATGGCTGTATACTCTCTGCTCTGGGTAATTTGGAGAAGAAAAATTCCGTGCTTATGTTATTATTGATTTCTAATTTATTCTTTTTTCTAACCTTTTTTTTTTCCTTTCATAAATGACACCAATCACATTTACCATTGGACTGCCATCTCTCTCCTTGAAAAACAATGGTGTTGACTGAAATCACTTTGAGTGGACCAAATTTCCTCCTTGGTGACTGTTCCTCAATGATCTCTTCCACTCCCCCAATCTGCCTCTCTGGCCAATCACAACCTTCTTCCGTGTGTACGTCATGCTGCTCTCGTCCTCAACTCCCCCCTCTGTCTTGCTGACTTCCTGGAAAAGCCACGGAAGAATCCTGGGCCGAAGGAGGCTTCTGTATGCTAGTGAAAAAGAACAATCTGTGCCAACGGAAGGTTCTTCAACAACTTTGCTGCAAAACATGTACATTCCAAGGCTGAGCTGCGATCCTAGATTTCTTTGTTCCTGTAGACTTATAGATTACTCCATATTATTATTAAAAAGAAAAAAAAAAAAAAAAAACAAGCAAAAAAAAAAAAAGCAAGCCACCTCTCTCTTTTTTGCTCTCTTTTTCTCTCTCTCTCAAATTTGTGCAGGGAGATGGTGAACTGTTTTGTCAGAACTTAAATGGAAAAAAAAATAAAATAAACCTACAACAAGCCTACCTTTTATAACTGGGTGTTTAGTGCTAAACAGCCAGAACCACAGAGACAGTATTGTATGACCAAAGCATTTGATGCCAAAATTTGACGTTAAAGTAATGATTTGATTTCCTGCCCTGGTTTTGAAGGTCCATTTTTTCCCCCCTTTGCATTTACTTGCTTGTTTCCCCTTTGAGATGCCTAAAAATACCTTTCAAAAACATCACAAGAGCAGACATAGATCAGAATCAAAGAGAGAGCTCTTGCGTGTGTCATTTTTCACGTGTGAGTCCACTGTTTGTTGGGGGAAATGGCACAAAACTGGACCTGAGGGCATTCAGAACATCCCGCGGAGTTGTGTTCAGTGTCATTTTGTCTTAGTTTTTCACAGTTGAACATTGATACTTTTCCACACATAATTGACTGCGTGCATTATGTGCTGGTTTTGGCGTTTGACTCACGCGATAAGTCTGCTCCACTGGTTTCATCAGATAGATTTGCTGCTACTGGCTTTTCCATTGCCGATTGGGTGATTTTACACACAGCTGGTCAAATGGGATCACTCTCTACCACCAGATTGGTGATGGACAGAAAGCAAAGTTACACCAAATAGCTGAGACCAATCCAGCTCCCCTGAAATCTGGAGTGTTCACTCTGTGGACCCCTGCCCAATCTCTTGGTGCTATCTGGCCATTATCCCCATAGCATTTTTTTGTTTGTTTGTTTTTAAAGGCCATCAGAAATTCCATTTATCGCGATGGGAAGCATTTTGGATAGGATGCGGGAGATTTCTTCCTTGAGTCCAAAGTTTCTAAAAGGTCCTGTATTTTTTAAGAAATGGAATTATTTAAATACTATTTAAGCTCGTGCCCAAGTTGGCCGGGCAGTGTTTCTCAATGGTGCTTATTAGAAGTTTTATCATTTTGTCATTTTAAGAAAATAAAACTGGAAATTGAATATGGGTGGCATGATTGTACCCTCCTGGTTCTGTTATTTCTCACTCCTCTGTCCTTCTTCTAACTGTGCTATGTTACATCTGTCCACTGGATGTCAATGAGATCATGTGTTTTCTTGGAAATCTTCTCACCGGTTTTCTACAAACTCCTAAACAACATCCTGGAATCTAGCAGACTGAATTTTGTGAAAACTATTTTGGATCAGTGGTTAGAAATGATGCCGGATAGATCTTTTTACCGATTCTGAGTTTCTCTGTG